TCATCACCCCATAGAAATCAGCATTAATTGACTTCAATTCTCCTTTACCACCTTAACCGGGAATAGTTAAAGTGGAGTGATAGTAGATGGCAAGGTTGGCGAGTGTGCTCTTGATAAGTGTGAGTCTCTCACATTTAGATAAAAATTTCGTTTTCCATCTTGCAAGTCTTCTCTCAAATGTGTCAATAACTGGTTCCCAAATGTTAGAATCTTTGTATTTAACTCCCAAATAGGTGCACAAATATAAAATAAGTAACTTGACAGCTTTGCGTCCTATAATATTGGCAAGGTAGTTCTCATCACTTATATCTCAGATCCTCACCAATTTTGACTTGCTTAGATTATTTATTTATTTCTTGAAATAAAAGAGAGAAATTTTATTCATAAAAGTATCAAGGGGATACCACCCGTATACAAAATAGTTACATATCTATCAAGTGGTCCATATCTAATCTAATGTCTTCCCAATCATGCACATCGTGACCTAACAAAATAGACTCAAAAGTATGAAACCATTTATCTCTAATGTGTACAATATTAGTTTCAATGCCCTCAAACGCCCTCGCATTTCTTTCCTTCCACACAACCCAAAAAATGGTAAGTGGTATAAGGAATGCCTATTTTTTTTTACAATATTCTGCCCAAGCCCAAAGTTCCCCCACTTACATTACCAGCTCTAACCCAAAACAAACCCAGCAGCCCAAAAACCATTGCCAAAATGCTGTTAATTACTGGACAGCCAACAATAAATGATAACAAGATTCCTCATCAGCTTTACAAAAGTACCATCTATTCACCATAATGTTTCATTTCCTTTTTAACATGTCAATAGTTAAAATGCTATCTCTCGCCGCCTCCCAAGTAAAAAATGCCACTCTAGGGGGCACCTTAGCTTTCCAAATTAGCTTGAGAGGTGCAGTCACGTTCTGATCACCAACTCTTTTGCACAAACTGTAAAAAAATGACTTAAACCGAAAAACCCCTATTAATATCCAGCTTCCAAATTCTCTCATCATTTTTTCCAGTCAGTTTAATTTTGTCTAAACAGAGCAGAAGGTTGTTGTATTCCGCAATCTCCCAATCATGCAGATTCCTCAAAACTTTTAACACACCATGTTTTATCAACATCCCCTCCACCAAAAACCATCTCCACCCTTGCCTCCTTATCACTTGCAATTGCAAAAAGTACCCTTGCTAATCTACCAATTTATTACCTCTCTATATTAACCATTCCGGCAATTTTTGCTATAAAACTTGAAAAGATCTAGTGTAGATCTTTATGGGGTGATGAGGAGAGAGAGAAAACATCATCTTGTTAG